GCATATTTAGGAGGAGAGGAGATGGTGAACATCAAGAACACCAGGCATGTGCAAGTATTGCCATTGCCGCCGCCGCCGCATGACGACAGTGAAATATTGCGAGAACTGCAACAAACGGTTCCAGAAATTAACCAAATGGTGCGCAGACGTGAGCAAGTCTTGCGACTTCGGAATGGGAAGACAATTGGTGATAGGGATATAGGCTTATTTCGTCTGGCCAATTTGGCTAAGGAAACCATACAGATAAGTACTCAAAGACACACTCTGGAGGCAGCATTGCATGACCTCCCAAGACACCTACTCCAGATATCTCGAAAGTTTGGAAAAGCTTGAGTCACTTCAACCCTCCACCATCGGCTCGAGCTTGAAGCTATCGATTGGAGGAGAATGGATTGATCGTCTCGAGATCATTTACACAGCAGCCACCTACAACTCATAGCGGAGGGTCTTGTTGGCAGTCGAGCGCAAAGAGATGGTGGATTTTGCCAGTTCGTTGCCCAAAATTTGTTGGCAGTCATTGATTTTTGTCCATTGTATTATAATTTTTTGTCACAAGTCTGTTGCAGATTTGGTGTTGTATGTATATATTTTTTTTTTGAACGATGTGGGGGAATAGAGGACGAAGTGGAATAAATAATAAATTAATTTTGTCAATTTAATTTATTGAGTTTTGAAATTTGCTGATCGAATGAAAAAATTGAATCGAACCATATGATTGAGTAGAGTGAATCAACCAGCTGGAACTCAAATCGATTTTTGATTTTGGTGAGCCCCACAAGTGGGTTATAAAGTGGAATAAATAACAAAGAAGAAGAGGGACGCTGGGATGAGGAAGGACAGCACGTGAGAAACAAGTGGTGGGATTGTACTTTGTTGCGGTGCAAACGACATGTGGTCTTTTCTTCGATCTTTGGAAAATGGTCGGCTACTCCCTTCCCCACATCCATCATGCCAACATGGTAGCCCTCCATCAACCAAACCAAACCCATGTGATGTTCAAGCCCATTTTCTTCTCCTTTTTGTCGCTTTTACTGCTTTTGCATTTTAATTCAAACTTCATCTACCCTTGTGCTTCTCACCCAATATCCCTTCTCCAATCTTTTCACGCTACATTTATTTGTACGTACCATATATTTGTGCTTCTTTCCTATGACATTGGGTCACCTTTTTTAGAAATCATTTTTAACAAGCTCACTGAAATTAAGGTGAATGGGTTAGAATAATGAGATTATCTTAAAAATAAATTACTAGAGAATGTTTTGATGTTTCGGAAGAGTTTTAATAAAAATTGAAATACTGCACCTTTTTTTTTGGAATTTGCCGAATGATACTTTTAGAATTATATACCAAAAATTAAAAGAAAGTGACTTATATAAAAAACTAGAAAAGCTTTTTAGGATGTGATCTACTTATAAAAGAGAAAGACAAGAGGGAGTGTCACTTAAGTCTATCATTGTTTTTGGTTCCCAGATTGTTAATTTTGATGCCCAAATCCAACGCATGATAAAAGGCCTCCAAATAATCAAAAAGATATTAATTAACAAAAACTACAACTTTGAGCCACTAAGTTCAGGGCAAACAATGCCTCCACATTTCACTCACAATGCTCAATATATGAGATAAACTTAAATGAGTTGAATTTTAGGGATTCATTAGGCTTATGATATGCTTTCAAACTCAATGAGTGATTATAAATCACCCAACAATCAAATAATTACATCAGCAATGAGATTTGATCCTAAAATTTTGTAGGTTATGGGTCAAATTTTTACTAACTAAATCAACATTTATTAGTTGCTAATAATTTATTTTAATTAGTCTTTACATCTGAGCTGTAATTAACGTTGACTTTAGTTCATATACCATTTCCATTTAATGTAGTTTATATTTTTCTCACATTATGTTTAACTCATAACTTAATATTCGGGGACTACAGCAAGGGATTCCAAGAGTCTATTTTTGTTTGATAAAATGTCAGATCAATGTATAACTTTGAGACTATTCGGGTCTCTAGCACGCTTTACATGTTTCCAACAATTTTCCATATATAATGCAACCACACATAAACACAAGGACGGAGTTAGAAATTTTTATTAAGAGAGATTAAGATGATAAAATATATATGATAATTAAAAAATAAATATAATATATATATATATCACCGACATAATATAAATATTTTAACACATATATATTTATATTTAATTTTACACATGTATAACATATATATATATATATATATATAAATTTTTACTCATCATTTTTTATGGTATAAAAATGATTAGTTATTATGTTTACAATAAATATTTTAGCAATTTCCTTCTCAATATGAATTATCATTACATTGATGAAAATTTTATCATCCTTATAAGCATTAAATGTTTTAAATACATCATTAGAATTTAAAATTCTATTTAATGTAATAAGCTATATTATTTTTTTATTGAATTTACTATTTAATTTTTTTTCAATTGATAATTGTAGTAAATAAATATATCAACATATTAATAATGTTCAATTGTCATAAAAGCTTTATATCAATGAGATCAAATTTTATTGGAGTAAAAATCATATATATCATAAATTTTAATAGCTTGACTATTTAAAAAAAGTAATTTTTTTGTAAGAATATTATCACCAAACCTTTTAACTTTTGAATAAATAATTTTGTGATAGATATCAAATACATGGCATTCAATATATGTTGAAATTTTGTTACAATGCTTAACAAATTTTGTTAATAATAATTCTCATAATTTCTTTCAGTAAATATAAAATAAAAGCAAAATAAAATAGCATTAATACTTTAAGAGCATGTATAGTATTATCTTGTTAAAAATGAGTAGATTCTATGACAATCAAATCTTCGAGCTACTGAAATGGTTGCGATATACATATATAAAAGACTACATATTGAATTAAAATGAGAATTTCATCTAGTGTTTCATAACTTCTATAATATACCAAGTTAGAGGAGATGAAAATATATAACCTATATATTTTATTAAAAAAAATTAAAAAGTTAAGGGGCCATCGCCCCTACCAGTCCCTTCTCTCTCCACCCTTACTTAGACATCATCTTCAATTGTGTTAATTGCTTAATTTAGCCATAACCTATAACCCTTGTATAATTAAGAATCATTTCATCATATGTGGAATTTTTCTGAAAAAGGAACGGTGCAAATTCATTGAAGTAGCAAACGAATAAAAAAAGGAAGGGGGAGGGGACCAAATGGTAGGCATTGGCAATTTAAACAACACATGCATGTATAGATTTTTTTTTTTTAAAGGCCAACACATGTATAGATGAATTCTTTGAATATACACCAATTTAGAGAATTTATTGGTTAAACTGAATTTTTAGCTTTGATTAATTAGTACTTGATGTATTTTTTTCATGCAAATACATGAAGAATTTCATGATTGCAAGTAGAGTTCTAGGAACTCATCATGGTCAAGAACAAGTTTTACCACTTATAGATTCCTCATCAAGAGATTTATACATTATTTATAAAAAAGAAAGTCTCCTGAGAACAACGATGAGATCACTTAAACTAAGACATTTTTAGAATATTAATCAAACACTTACTACCTGGATCAACATTTAACATTCTACTTGATTGCTTTAATTTTGTACAAGAGTTTTGTTTGTGGAAAATTGATGTTTGTTTTTGTCAAATTTATTTTGTTTAACATTGAGTTGGTTCGGTCATTTTTTATTGTCAATATTCTTCTCGGGTTCTATTTACATGACAGAAAGAAAAAATTAATTTTAATCCTATTAATAGAATATTTCATTATTTTTAATATCCATTTTTAGCTTTATACGCTTATAAAATATTAGAAAAAATCATTAAAAATAATTCTTTTTGTAATTATTAGAGGGTATAGGTAAAAATTTATTAAATTTTATGATATAATTAATGAAGTTTAAAATTTTTATTGATTTCAGTCAAATATATTAAAAGCATAAGGTGTAAAATATATCATCAATATATAGAAAGCTATCATAAATAATGTAACTCCAAATATAAGTGATTTATATCCTTTTTAAGGCTCCCCCTCGTACATTTCATTGGGTCCTATGCAATTTTGTTTTGTTCCCTTCCATATCATGTTATCAATAGCAATAGGGTTACCATATTAGAAAGATGTAGACAATTTTTTTTTTAAAAAAATAACTAATTGTTATCTTCTATATGCACCACACATGAAAAGGAATCTAACTCTTGGCTAAAATGACTACAAAAGCCTCACATACATGTGAAAATTAAGATCGATCCCTGCACGTAGACAAGATCTGGAATTTTCGATGCCTTGGGCTATTCTTTTGTAAGGAACAAGGAATCTCTCCATTCATGGGATACTAAATTAAATAGTAGTTTTTTAAAATTAAATTATTACATGCATACATACATACACATACGAGTTTGATTTTAAGTTTAAACTCACGATCAATTGTGAGAAAAATTCCTTCTTCCCACTTTAACTCGGGTTGGTGATGTCTTAAGTAATATTTCGTTTTGTTAGACTTAATTATTTAATTTTAAAGTTGCGTTATATTTATGTTTTATAAAAAATAAAAACAAAAAAAAAAACTCCGGATCCTGAAAGACAAAATGATTGACAAGCCATTTATGTATCAAACGTCGGCTAGTTATTTGTGGTAATTCCAAATTCCACGCCACTCATGAGCACTCAGTCCCATCCAATTTCAACGCTTGCAATCGATTTAGGTACGTTCCTGTCGCATCCCTTTTTTTTCTTCTGATAAGAAAAAAAGGAAAGGAAAAAAGTGGGGGGGTCTGTTATCACTGTACTCCCTTTAATTCACTTACATATGTTTTAAAAAAACTATTTTTAAAATTTTGTAAAAATTTATTTATTTTTTATAATCTATTAATCTTAGTATCAGAACTCATGAGTCAAAACAATTATTCGTGTGTCTGATCACGTGACATGATTAAGTAACTCCGCGCGCGAACGCACACCGACTGAACTTGGAGGGTTAAGCAGACTTCATTGAGAATACTATATTTGATTACACGAGTAACATAAAAATTCGGACAAAAACTAGCTTGCTAACGAAATGATCAGTAGACATACTTAGCAAATTCAAAATACGACCTTAACAAAGTATACCCAACGAAGTAGCTTCTTCTCATTCCCGGGAACAGTAAGCAGAGCTACGAACACTTTTCACGGTGCAAGTGTTAAGAATCTTGAGAAGCACTTGATTATTAGTGCACCTAGGAGTCTTGAACTGGCTCAAAGCAGCCCCATTAGCGACGAAGTAATCTAGAATCTTCTTGAAGGTTCCTCTCTCCACCAAGCGAAGCTCGAGAGGTCCAATGGAATTGGTCTTCCTGGACACCACATACCCATGGTCTGCAAAAGCTCCATCCATCTCCCTACAACATTCCTCAAGAACCTCGTCCTCCACCTCACCTTTGACTTCCCAGTATATAACGTAGTGTCCCGGTTGGTTCGACACGTCAGCATAGCTCGTGAAGTCCACTAGCTCGGCTTTCTTTTGGACCGTGCTCAGAAGCTGCGAGCCCCTCTCTACCACTAGTTGGAGGTCCTTCTCCGTGTTCTTGTCTATGTTCACTGTTAGAATTAGCTTCCTTCTGCTTATGAAGTTCAGCTTCGGCGTCCTGTTGTGAAACCCTGCTACTTCCACCACGTCCCCTAATCGACATCTGTATAGCCCTGAAAGCGAATGAACGGGCATTAATTTGTTCGGTTCTAATCAAGTCTCTGTTGATTTGGTTTTGCGAATTAATGCATGATCAATCATGGGGTTAGGGATATGAAAATGACAATTCCGCAACCACCCACGGCGATAATTGTCAGAAGAGACATTGAAATGACAGCTACGTAACGTCGTTAATGGAGGTGGTAAAATGGCAGTATAGGTCACGACACATGGACAACCCGTGTGTTCATGACCAAATTATCGATGCCCCGACAAAATTTTTATCTCCAGTTTTTGCGTGTGATATTAGGCTTTTTTAATAACAAAACAAGAAGATCGAAGCAAGCGATCATGAACAAGGGGCAAAATAAATTAGATTTGGGCAAAGATATCGTTGAAATTGTTGAAGATGAAATAGTTAAAATTACCGGTGAAAGTTGTGAGGACTATTTCATACTTCTGTCCAACTTGAACCAGGGACAATGGGATTGGCTTGTCTTCCACGAAATCATCACCAGCCGAATTGCATTCTTGTGCTTTCTGGGATCTGTGGAGTGGTATGAATTCAAAGTAAGAGAAAGTGGGCACTACAGCAAATGTCACATTCTCTGGAGGCAAACCCGGATCCACATTAACCCCAATCCAGCTCTCTGTAGATCCATAATCAGCACTCACTAATGGCAAACCCTTTGCATAATGCCTTAGCTTTTTCAAATACGGCTCCATGGACCCTGTCATTATGGAATACACATACTTGGCATTTGGCCACAGCTTAGGAATTAAACCAAACCAGTTCACCTTTTCTAGTTCCTGGCATTTGACTTCTATTTTTGAAGCCAGAGACGGGTTTGGATCGGAGAGAATCCCCAGAACAGAATTTCTCACTCTGGGTACTTTAATTCTGGAACTCACAGTACCATTCCTGAGGTCGCAACATATTTCTCTCCACAGCTCTTCGAAGTTGCGAAAGGCTTGGACTATGCTGTAGACAAAGGCCGAGGTTATGAACTCGACTTGTTCAGAGTAAAAAAGGCCGAGGAGGAGGTGGCAATAAGTGACTTGTTTGTAGTCTCCTCCAGATATTACTTCGTCTGGACTGCAAGTAAAAGACTTCGTTTTCTCCTGCTTGATCTTGAACTCTTGGCTCTTGTAGTAGTGCGTTGTGGCCGTTCCTGCCGTTAAGCCTCCTTTTGTTTTGAACTGCTTGCTGCTATATATGAATTCTAAAATCCTCCCTCCTTCTCTTGTGGGATAAACTCTGCAATCATTATTATAATCAGCAAAAGATCGAGAACTTGAAAAGGAAAAGGAAAAAAAAAAGGAAAAAGAAAACGGTCAACAGAAACTGAGGAAGATTAAGACAAACTTTGATCTATAAGCTGCTGCTAAAGTGAATATTTGGAGGGTAGTCTGCGCGCTATGGTGGGTGAAAGGTACAAACTTCTGCCTCCCCTCTGTGGTTCCAGAACTGCAGAATATAACAATTCATCAGGAGAAAAAATGGAGGGTTTTCTTTCTTTACAAAGAAAGACGACAACTTTATGCTTCAACTAGCAAATTCTCAAGAGATAAAGTGACCGTACAAGCCCAAAGAGGCGTGTGCGGTCTGTATTTAATATTCTAATTCCTACCAACGTGACCATAAAAGAAGAGAGGAGGAAGAACTATACCTCAAGGAAAGGGTGGTTATGGATTGTTGAGTGAGTAAAGGGGCTGTGTCCCCATCCGCAATCCTCTGGATAAAGGGCTCAAAATCGGCATGCGATGCCAGAGGAACCACAGAAGTGAAAAGCGATTCCAATGCACAATCATCCATGTCTTGAACATTATAGTCCCCGAGCCATTTCTTGAGGTATTCAGCCCCACAGTTCTGCTTCAGAATCTTGGATAGCATCTGCGTCTGAACAGAACCAGCGTTGTTGGTTACATCTTCAAACCAGCTTATGATATCACAGACATGGCTGGTTCCGCCATTGCTACAACGAAGAAGCGGTTCCATCAACGACGATGCTCGGTGTTGAGGCATCAAGGCGAAGAAGAAGAAGAACGAGAAGGAGCTGTGTAGCTCTGAGTAAAATTTATCTGCTCGTGTATGGGGGGCCCGAGTAATTTGAAGATGGGAAACAGAGACGAGCAAAGGGAGCCCCCTAGTTGAAAGGTCTCTCTCTGGGTATATCCATAATATCAAGGAATTTTTCTTGCGTTTGAAAGGCTCAGCAATAAGAAAAGCTAAATGTCGCAGAAGCTCCATGGAGATGAAGATGGGGAAGATAGTTTATAGACCACAGGAAATGGGGTCGCCATTTTTAATGGTGGGAGAGAAATGGATTTCTTTTTCATGCGAAGATAGATATGGGTTGGGGCCTGGGGGCTACAAATACAAATGTGGCTAAGGGCAGCTTAACAATTTCCCTCCAATTTATTGCGTGAACCACCTTTTGAAAATCACACCCTACTCCGGTTACTCCTTAATCAATCTATATTATCAAAATACTAAAAAATGCACAAGTAATATACCGCTATCTCATTTCGGTATTTTTTAAATTATACGCAAAACAAAACATAAACAAAAATAAAAATAGGAACGAGGTTGGTTGCACTTGCACGTTTTCAATTTCATTTGGGTTAGCGGGACTGGGGACCGAGTAGAAGAGGTGGAAGGCATAGGAAAAAAAGTTGCTGACAGCAAGTCAGGCTCGGACACCTAAAGTTGATTAATCACTGCAAGGCTTGGAATTAAACTCGTGTTGAAGCCTAGGAGGAAGTCATTCTCTCGTTTTACGTTTGCAAAGTGTGTGATCTTCATAACTACTATTTCTCCTATGCAGCCACTAGATAGTAGCCTAGTGGCTACACACGAATTTCACTGTAAACAAGCTTAATTGTGATAAAGTTAAACTCTTCTCCTTACGACCAAATCTATTAATTCACCTGTACATCGATAAATCTTCTATATTTATTAGGAATATTTATAGATTGAATTAGATTGGTCGAAAACTTGGAAGTAGAGTTGTTTTATTGACATTGATGAACCTTTTCTTTTTTCTTTTTTTTTTATTATCTAAAGCTGTCATGATATTAAAATAGAGTTTGTAAATGAGCGAGCCTAACTTACATTGGCTTGATTTATATAAGCTTTTTTTAAAAAAATAAGCTTGGTTACTGCAAAATTATTTTTTTTTAAACTCAACTCTTATTAATCAAGGTCAGTGCTTATGAGCCCTTTTTTATTTTTTAAAATTTTTTAAATTTTTTAAATTTAATTTTTATATTATAATATTACATATTCTTTTTTTAAAATACAAAATATAATGTCAAGAAATTAAAAATAATTCATATAAATTTTATTTTTTAAATATAATTATATATTTTATTTTAAAGTCTACATTTAATTTGAAAATTGATTTTTTTTTTTTTAAAGGTAAAATAAAAACAGGTCGCCTGAACCGAACTCATTTTTACATGATCTACGTGGGTTGAGTTTAAAAGTTCACTTACATTGAAATTTTCTAATTTTTCAAGCTCAAGCCTTAAAAAAAAAAAAATCAAACGAGCTACCAGCTAAACACAATCCGCTTTCCTAACTCTATGTTAAAGTATTATGACACAATATCAGATTAAGTTGCTATATTTGGATTCACGGGTCCAAGGGTCCAATAACATTTTGTAAAGAAAAAAAATTATTTTTCTATTAACCTATTCCCAAGTTTACGGAATCTTCACTATAGTTGTTTTCTCATCCATACTTACCTATCTTGAACTTATTTAATTTCGCATTAAAAATAACTAAATTTAAGATTTTTGGTGAAAGCGTGTAGTAAATTTTTTGTAGTTGCAAAACCATACACGCATTTTCACAAGAAGCAGTTAAGGGAAAAGCCTGGCTTGTATAGAAGGACAAGATGGCAATAACTAGTATGCAAGCGTTGTGAGATATTCATGTTCAAAAGAGACGGGGACATCAAATTTACAGGTCTAATCTCACTCAATTGAATTGACACTTCAAGTCTAATATATTGCAGTATTGCTGATCATAAAGAGGTAAACACAGTTAATGCAGTGATTTAGTTCCTTATTGAGAAAGATTTTCAATAACCCTACTCTAGATAACTCCAATTAATCAAAGATCACGCACTCAAATATCAAGACGAGGATGGTCCGCACAAGATTTTCACGTGGCAATTTGTGGGTGTCTTCGCTTGATAGCTATTGTTTATGAAGTCATCATGATATTTCCGATTGATCACTTGTCTGATCAGAGATTTTGGAACTTTATACATTGCCCAGTTCCTTTTTTTAGTGGTTACTTTTAAAGATATTTTTTGGTTTTTATTTATCTGTCATTGTAAACAATATGGCATTATTTTTTTAATTATCGTATTATCTTTACTAATTTTAGAGTTCCACAACAACATTGATTATTAGAAGTGAAAATATAATTGTTAGTTTATATACTTTCAGTGTGTTTTAATATTAATCTCTATTTTTTATTCTAAGTTTATAAAATTTTATTGATATACAATATTAGTCTTTATATTTATAAATATGACCGTAAAAACTTAACAGTATCCAACATGAAAATAAGCTGTGTTACTTCTTGTGTTAAATGTTAAAATTAGGATAGGCAATAAAAAGGGGGAAAAATCAAAATGTTAAATCAAAATCTTTAAATTTGTAATGGATAAAACTTTAAACATGATTAGGGCTCGAACCCAGCCCTTATATATTTAACAATTTAATGGAGAAATATTTATCTATTTCTCTCGGTGCCTCATAAGTGATATTCTTTGCTATCGATGAAGCTTGCTCCTTACACTAATAAAAAAAGGAAAAAAAAACTAGGGTAGATGGACAGTAAGATTAGTGGCTATTTTACTTATACAATATGTCTAATTCATCTCAATTTTATAACTTAGCAATAGAATTTATAGAGTTATATATATATTAACATATTTAATTTGGTCAGTGATAATAAATACTAACATTGTAAATAAATGAAACTTAAAAAATTCAAAGCAATGAAAAAATAAGTATAGAAATTAATATTAAAATGTGAAAAAAAATAAGGGCGAACACTTATATTTTTCCTCATTAAAATAAATTAAGGAGACACCAGAAAAAAATTAAAAATTGGCAGTTGGATTAGCATTTGTATTTCCTAATGCCCCACAAGGTATGGGGGAAGTGATTTTGGTGAAAATGAACATAAAAATGAAGATGGATATGAAAACAGATATGAATATGAAATTTAAAAACATGTTAGGCATAAATATGAAAACATGATTTAACTTTTAATTAATATATGCATCTAAAATGAGAAAATACAAAAACACCGTCCAAAATAATAATAATTAAAAAAACTCCAGTCCACCTCCACCTGAATGAACAACAGCATTGACAAATCTGGCATAATCAACAACCCAAAAACTATGTGCAGAAAGTAGAAGCAAAAATCAAATGTAGCAAGTAGAAGAAAACGGTGAAGCGAAGGTGAGGGAAGCAGAAGATATCACCATTGACCTTCAATGGTTTCTAGATCGTAAAATCATTGGAGGTTGTCGGAAGTCATTGATTGCAGATCTGGAGGATAATTGTAAAATTCTAGATTTCAATCGTAAAGTAATAAATTAATTTTAAGTAATTTTGGGGCATAGAAAAAAAATCGAGGCATAAGAAATTATTGATAGAAAAAAGATAATGTTAAAATTGTTATATTTAATGAAATTTTAATATAGTTAAAGTGTTTTATATTTTGGGACGGAGAAACTTTTTAAAAAGTTTCCTATAATTTAAAATAAATGTAGTATTAAATAAAATAATACTTTCTCTGTTTCTATTTATAAAAAAAATTATCACTTTTTAGTTATTTTTTATATAAAAAAATTACTTATTTTAATAAGTATTTATTACACATTTTTTAAATCAACCCTCATAATTTACATTAACGAGAAATAATTAATGCACACTTATATTAATTAATATAAAAAATTTTAATTTAATTTTTTATTTTTAAATATAATTATTATAATTAATTAATTTTATTAAATGTGATATAATTTTTCTTTTTTATAAATAAAATAAAAGAGAATATGTTTAAAGAATATATATATATATATATATTTATATATAAGAAAGTGGGTGGTTGTGGGGGGGGGGGAAGATGTAATACGTGTGTATCTATAATTTATAATATTATATATATATATATATATTAATAAATTATATTACATGAAAAAACAATAACGAAGGAAAAGGTCCGTCCCATTGATTAGACCTCGTGAATGGTACACGCACCTATTGCACAATTCCTTCATAGCGGCGCTGTGTGGACACGAAGGAGAGGGGATTTGTGGTGCTCATCATTCAGAAAGATTTTTAATTTAGATGATCTAATTTTTTTAATTTTAATTTTAATTTTATAAAAATAAAATTTATAAATTTTTTAATAAATATATTCATTATCAGTCTGAACAGAACTAATTTAATTTAAGACTTTGGATAGTTCAATTCAATATTATAATTTTCATAAACTGATTATCTATGTATACTCTGGACAAGATAGATTTAATATTAAATTTTTTATAATTTTTAATTTTAATAAATATAAAATAAAAATAAAAATAAAAACTTTAAATTTAAACCTTGTAGATAAAAAATTAATATTGAATTTGGACTGTACATCTAGATAGTAAATTTATAAAAATTATAACATTAAATTGCACCATGCAAATTAAATCAATACTATCTAGATTGATGATGAATATATTTATTAAAAAAATTTATAAATTTAGATGGCCTAATCTAGATGGCCTAGATCTTCTTAGATGATAAGCACCACGGTGCTTAGCAAGTGGATCCAAAGAGAGGATCAACATCACAAGTGGTGAGTGATTTTAGAGCTTAGGTTTTGCAAGCAGATATTTTAAAGATGGTTGGAGACTTTTCAAGACTATTCTTTTATTGAGAGCTCTCTTTAATTAACTCAAAGGTTTTTTTTCTGTATGTACAAACCATATTTAATATGGTGATTTACACGAGTATTGCTTATTAATTTTATTTGATTTAGTATTATACCCATATATAGACTATATTTGTGTGATAAATTGTTGAGAAATAGTAAAGAATATGATTATGAAATTTAATGAATTACTTAATCCTGCCTAGTATAATTGTGACTTATAGCCATGATTCAATGAGGTACTATGTTTTTTTTTAAGCCTACATGTAAACTATGATTGTTGCATATGTATGACATGCGTTGGTAATGGGTTGAGGAGATGATGCTATCGATGTTAATATATATATATATATATATATATGATTAAATGATTACATAATTTGCCTCCACTTTTTGCATAGTGGTTGGTTTTATGCAAGGCATCATTTCTCAATGCTTACTTGGCTAGGTTTGTAAAGGGAGAATATAAGATAATGACACCTTCTTATTGGATTCTTTAAGGAAAGGAGTCATAATTTAAGCCTAAACTTTGTATCTTTAGTTAGATACATCTCAAGCACTGAAGATGCTTTGGTTAGTTCAATGTGTAAATTAGATCACGAATAAGCATATGGTTTTAATTAATAGTATAGGGTTGGATAGGGTAATAAGTGGCTTACTTATTTTGTGTATTATCTATTGCGCATAACTATATATGATGAATTATAGCCTATAAATTTGTATGCTCATATTTTATGGTACTGCAATTTTATGCATACTTGTAGTTAATTATGTATTGTTGTTAATCTGTACATGGATGCTAAGATTTTAAGTTGTTGAGACATTAGTGCTTACCCATTTTTTGTAATATTTTAGGTAAGCCTAGTGAAATATTTGAAAAGCTTGGGGCTTATCTTGAACAAGCCTCAAATCCTATTTTAATTTATAGAATAATCATTTGTTAGTATAGAATTTATTTATCATTTGGATTTGAGTAGGTAACTTGTTTATTATTTATTGAAGATTTATAAAAGCATTGTTAGTGGAGGCTTGAGACCATATGACTTGCATGACTAATTTACTTGGAGTAGATATTTTATTATAAAATTTTATCATCTAGACTTTTATTGAGATAATTATTTAAGTATTTGTGTGTACAGGTTTTAATAAGCCTAAATTTTATGAAATTGAATATTTAATTTTAGGTTTTTTTTTCATTTATTATGTTAGACTATCTTCTATTATAGTAGGGTGTTGTTTATAATTTTAAATAAAAAGGTCAAACTTTTATAATTTTAATAGCCTTTTAATTAGTTTAGTCCTTTTCTATTAAAGTTTGTTTTTAATTATATTTTTATTAGGTAAATTTTTCATAACCACAATAGCTCTTGAAAATAAGTTTAACTTTTTTTTTTATCACAGTTATCTTTAAAAAAATATAATAAATTTGAGAACAGGTTTTAATCTTTTATACTGTGTAAAATATATTTTGTTTTATTTTATTTTTTTTGTTTAAATTTTTTTTATCACTGTAATATTTGGTTAAGTTTTTTTCTTGTAAAATTAGGGTGTTACAATAATGGTTTTCCAGATCTTACGTTAATGGCCTGACGCCTCTTCCTTGACGCTAGAAGTCCATGGGTTGTAAGATGAAGTAGAGAAGAAGACAAAGCTGGAGATCTGCAAAACAAATGAGCCATCATCTTGCTTCAACTAGATGCAACGGAGAAGACGAAGTAGAAGCTAATGGAAATCGTCAACCTTCAACATAGCGACCACAATGGCGGCAACACCTAGTCTTCCCATCGATCTTCTCACTGTCAAACGCACGGGGTCTTCTTGCCGCCATAGATGGATGGAGTCCAAAGTGGAGGTGCAAAAGGGTCGAAAAGTTGGGTTCCATGGAAACCAATTCAACTTAGTTTGATGGAAATCAATTTAACATGAAAGTCTAACTCATGTAAACCAAACGGATAAAATCACAACTTCCTTACCCACTTCCAATTCCTTCTCCATCTCTTCAATTTCAGCGCACCAAACGGACCTCAGTCGTGTGTTAAAAAATTCATTAGAGCCTTTCAAGATATATATTTAATTACAGTATTATTTTGTTCAGTTCCCGTTATTTTATAAAACAACAATAACTGTTCAGTGCCCAACTTAACAATTACATGCATACACATACTGCTAGTAATTAAATAAATTAATGATCCATCATGATCTTATGACTGAGCACGTCAATGATGGACCTCAATAATTGGATATGGTAGTCCCGATTTCAAACATACATATCAAATTTCGAATGTTAGAAAATGATTCTCTATACCAATAATTTGTGAGTTAAAATGGTTAGCATTTTATTTTAGTTGACAGAAATAGGAGAGAATAAAAATCCCAAGGGTGTTCTGTGTGATGAGTGACGTGTCGAATGTTTATGTGATTTTGAGATGTTGTATGGGCAAGAATTAAAGAGCTGGTTGCTTTTTCTGCATCACAAATTCACAATGTGAGTTGGGACGCAAGCAAGGTTGGCATCCTTCATGATTCCGAAGAGGCAGAGGTCAAGCCATCGCTTTGACTTTTTTAACCTTCATCATCCTAAAAGGCCGGTGGGATTAATGTCTTGATTCGGTACTTATTAATCAATAATGTCTTATCATTACTTTTTGGTTTGCAGTTTTTTTAATTAGAACGAGAAGAAAATAAGGAGAAAATAAAATCAGAAAAAATAAATAAATTTTACACTTGTTTATCATTCAAACGAAATGTGAGACTACAGGGGAAAGAAATTGGTGAGTGCAGAGGAATTTAAATACATCCATGTATTCCTTTTTCTTCATAATCCTTGTGCTTGCATTTTTCTATTAGTAATTGAATGAATTTTCCTTTGTTGGTGTTTTTGGCATCATGTTAAATCCAATCTAGCACTTGTGTACCGGTTTGCCCCGACTTTTATGGGCATTGGGTTACCCGGAGTTAGGTCCTGACATGCAAAGCTCTTTTTTTTTTTTTTTTAAATCATACGAACACCCATACCAAATCATATGTTTTTGTCACTCTAAATTATTGTAGTTTGGAAGGGAACGAGATTGTCTTTAAAACAAGACTAAAAGTGCAATTATACCCAACTTCAGTGATTATTATTATCTGTTAACATGATCTTCCAATAAATGCTCGGTTCACGAAAACTGTATGGCCAGAGCAGTCAAGACATGAATATGCCGTACTCCATAATTCATGAACTGAGAAGATTCAGCTGAAAAGTGAAAAAAAGACTACTCCTGACTTTTTAAGCAGGGCATTTGCAATTATTTTCATGCATGTTAAAAAAATAGAAAGGGGAATAAATATATTAATTGGTTTGCACATCAATCTTCATATGATAATTTAAATATCAGGATCTTTGATTTTCCGTCTAAGAGGTGTAAGAATTTTTATACTTACACATGACTTGATTTGTTATCATTTTGCTCGGATTTTTCTGACCTTTTATAAAAAAAAAATTCATTTAGTCTCATAACAAATTGACATGCTTTTATACTTTTACCCTTAATCCCAATTACCACCTAAAATTTTAAAGAATTGAATTAAAAAGTGACAATTTATGCTCTCGTGTTTTAGAATTGCATGGGAAGAGATGCTTTTTCAATTCAAGTTTACCAAGTGCTGTATTTGTTATGAAGAGTAAGAAATAGCATTTATAATGGGATTGAATAAGAAATAGTTTACCAAGTGCAAGTCTTGAATAATAGAACAACATATAGCTTCCCCCCTTTCATCACAAGCCACTTGATTTCTCTCTCATAAACTACTTACATTCATTCAATACGATCATTCTCAATACACCCCCTGATTAACAGGCACTATCAGAAAGATCAGAAGCCTCCTCATGCAAAATCAAATCGTCACATTCGATACCATTTCCAAAATCTAATAACAACGCAGGCTTACAAGTTCGCCTTATATGGCATGATAATTGGATGCTACAATTCATAATAACCCTCCTTCAGGATGGGTGTAAGGTCCTTTTGTTATCAGATTTTAACTAATGTTATTATCTCTTGCAAGATATTAATAATGACGTTGTAATTATTTAAAAAAAAGAAGAAGAAGAAGAAAGAAAGCGGGATGGCCTTTGGCAGTTAGGCTCACCCCCCCCCCCCCCGGTTTTTTTTTGGTAGGAAAAGAGGGCTAGCCTTCCCCAAGTCATATACCATCCTTCTCTCCCCAGCCAACTCCATCTGCTACTCCTCTATTCACTGTTACAATGTCCTGCCACATTATTGATTCTTCGTTGGTTCTGACACACCACTCTCTCTTGATGAGGTCTCTAGTGGCTGGGTATCAGACATTGAATTGCTGATACTGTTCTTCCATCTCCCCGGATATTCTAAGATATACCACTCGCACACGTGCACTTCCCCCATATTGAGCAAACAAAATGCGTGTGTCAAAGACTTGGCAGATGTCATCAACCACTATCTTAAAGAAAGGCACTAACACAGGAGCTCCTTACTGAAAACACTTGACAATCCACGAGCCTTCATATTCATACATGCATTACACAGCCTAGGCAACGTCTAGCCAATGAAGTCATCTGTCAACAAGGTTTTGGAATTTGACCCGTTTTTTAACACTACCCATTCGATCATACCCAATACCAATCTTGCTATGCATCAACTTTATGGCTAAATCTGCATTCCCGGCTTTCCTCAAGGCATTAATAAGCACAGTGCGAATTTTTCCAGGTATTTCCCTGCCTCTATCCACAATCCCATCAGCTAATTTGCAGGCTTCCTTCACACGTCCGGATTTGCATAGCACATTGATCATGTCTTCATAAGCCGTCTCAGGAATAATCCCCATCGGGGCCAGCTCATCCATGATCTTACATGCTCTTGCTACCTTGCCAGAAAGGCAAAGTCCGATTGAGAGTGCCCTAAAGGAGGCTGAATTCGGCGTGATTCCTTTGTCAATCATCACATCCCACAACTTCAGCGCCTCCTCATTTCTATGCTCATTGAAAAGTCCACTGACGAGTATTGTGTATGTATAAACTGTCTGTTCGCAACCTTCATCCTCCATCCGCTTAAAGAGTTCCAGCGCTCCATCCATTCTCCCACACTTCGACATGGCATCAATAAGGGCATTGTAGCAATAAGAATCCCGAGAGCATCCCTTCTCTGCCATCTCTTCAAAGAGCTTCTCAGCTTCATCTACTCTGCCTGCCTTCCCTAGACCATCAATCAGACTGGAATAGAATACAGCATTAACTGGGATGCTGTTAACACTACAAAACTTAAAATACTCCATGGCTTCCTCTAACCTACCGCACTTGCATAACCCGTTGACAATGGCTCCAAAAGTAACTTCATCTGGTTTGATCTCATCCATATTCATCCTCTCAAACAGTTTCATTGCCCCTTCCATGTTACCACTTTTTGCATAAGAATCAATTAACGCAGTATATATAGCCTTGTTTGCTTTATGACCTCTGCGAAACATAGTCTCGAACACGGTATATCCTTCTACATATTTACCTTCTCTACAGAGCCCACAGATTACTAAGCTATAAGCATGAGGTGGAATTGCCAATCCTCTTTCTTCTAATTCTTGGTAAAGACTCAAGCAAGAATCAAAATTCCCTTCAGAATAACACGCCTGAATCAGAGTCATATATGTAATCTTATCAGGCTCCACGTTTCGATTTTCCATGGCTCGAAGCTTCTCTAATGCTTTCTGGGTTTTACCAGCTTTACAATACCCTTTGATAATAGTGTTGTAAGTTACGATATCTGGTTGGATTTTTCCATCTTCCATTACCTCAAAAACCCGCTCAGCTGATTCTATAAACATGGAATTCACCAACCCATTCATCAAAAAATTATAGGTATACAAGCTGGGTTCTATGCCATTCTCTTTCATTTGACGCCACACCCACAGTAATTCCTCAACCAAACCAAGACTACCAAAACTTTTAACCAAAGAATTAGCAGATGAAACTGTCATCAAGAAACCCATTTGTTGTAGCTCCGCAAAAACATATCTAAACCTGTTCAAGTCGCCTGATGACAACAAAACATCAATTATAGATACATAGCAATCGAGAGTATGGGCATACTTCTTTTGCTTGCCAGCCCAGTAGAAGAAACGCAAAGCAAAATCAGGGTTTCTATGTAGCTCAGTGGATCGTAGAACATGTGCAATGAAATTTGGGGTCAATTTGATGAAAAATTTGCGGCAGTAAGAGTCCAAATTGGCTTCCATATTTGAAGAACCATCCAAAAGATTGATAATTTCTTTCAACCACGGTGAAGGCTCTAATTTTTGAGGAGCTGAGACTACATCAGAGACATCACTGAAGGGTTCTACCCATTCTGGAGGAGGAAGGGAGCTAGTGAACACAAACCTGTGCTTTGTGAAGAAACAGGATGTATAATCATAGTATGATGAATACGACGTTGACTTGACATTTTCACACAGATTTAGAGGTCGACGAGGAACAGGGATCGCTATGACAGTCAGGGGAGTTCGCCGTAGCAGCACAGGGACTCTTCTCATTAGGGTTTTGCCACACCGTAAGTCCGTAAGACTTGACCCCCCACATTGTAAACTAACACCAAGTCATGTTTTATAACGCGAACGGGACAACGAATCGGAAATGTTAGCGGCTCACAAGTTTATAACCCGACAAGTTGGACTGGCAGTTAAACTAATAACCTAATAATTAAATAACAAATAATATATATATTATGAGAAATAAAATACAACAATACAACAACGCTACTTGTCATTAATAAAACAAAAACATCACAATGTGTTCTATTCAAGTCATTAATACAACAACGCCACAAGTTCACAGGTACTACAAAACAAAATCCACATTCACAATATCATAACCCATAAGTCATAATTTCATCAATCATCAAAGATTAGTGGATCTTGATTAATCCAACAGAAAATTAATCAAAGCAGAGAATATAGCCTTCCAAGAGTTCTGAGTTTTTGACACATAGCACCAACACCACAAAGCAAGGCAAAACATGAAATTATAAAAAGTTTAGCTTTTCATGCCAGCAGTATGAGCCTGTAATTTGTCCCTTTTTTCCCCACAAGTCCAAACATTGTAATTGTAACTAATATCTAAATGATGTTACACGGGTTGGAAAAAATCATAATTAAAATCAGCATTTTGTGGCAGCAATAATTTCTGCAACCTTCTTCGGAATAATGAAAGTAAGAAGTCCCAGCGAACCAACAAAAGCCAGTACAGACAGTAGTCAACCATAATTATGAATGAAAGCAGAATACTATTAAGCATGTTCTTGGTTCTATGACGTGCACCATTGCAGAACGAAACATCAACGTGTAGCAGACATAATTATATAGTTCAGACTAGGAATATGAAGTAATGCTGGCTTTCATAAGCCAGGCATCGTCTGAAATGGAAGATTTCCACATAAATTGTGACATCTGTGTTTGGTCCTCATTCTCTTTATTAGAACACATTATTGACAGTTTTTTACCTATATGAGCATTTTATCTTCCTATGTGCATTAAATAATTTAAATGTATCATTAGAATTTAAAATTCTATTTAATATTATAAGATCTATCATTTACTTATTGAAATTATTATTTAATTCTTTTAATTAATAATCATAGTAAATAAATATATTAATATAGTAATGATGCTCAATTGTTAAAATTTTTTTATATCAATGAGATTGAATTACATCCGAATAAAAAGTATTCATATTATAAATTTTAATAACTTGATTGTTAAAAAAAATAATTTTTTTAGAAGAACACCTCAACCATAACATCTTAACTTTTAGATAAATAATTTTATTGTATATATCAAACACATGATGTTTGATATATTTTGATATTTTTGTTGCAATATTTGACAAAGTTTGTCAATACTAATTTTTCTAATTTCTTTCATCAAATATAAAATAAAATAAAAATAAAATAACATCCATATTTTAAGAGTCTGTGTGGTATTATTTTGTTAAAAATAAATAAATTTTATGATAATTATATCTTTAAGCTATTAAAACAATTGCACTTTACATACATAAAAAATTATATATAAAATTAAAACAAAAATTCTATTTAGCCTCTCCAAAATTTATATTGCGTTAATTTAGGAGTCAAAAATATAAATAATTAAAAAGTTAGGAGACCATTACCTCCTAACTTCACCCCTATCTACCATCTCTCTCACAACAACTTGTAGCGTGTGATACAGTAACCAGCAAGCCACAACTGTTGATCCAAACAAAATAATTATAGAAAGATAATATTCCTTCTAAATCAATTTATAAAATATTTTTTAAAAGTAAATTATAATCTAAAATATCTGACACTTTATAATAATTAAATTATTTTTTTAATTTTATGTCTCCTTGATTAGCATAATGATATTTAATATAGTTGCATTATTATTTAAAGGTAAGGGCAAAAAAAAAGTACATATCACTTTTTTTTATGATATAAAAAAATTATTCCCTCTATCCTAAATTATAAGACGTTTTTAAAAAAAATTTAATATTTTAAAATATAAGACACTTTGACAAGAATAAAGTTTCCTTAATGATATTTTTTTAATATTACCCTTACTATATATTCTATTTTTTTAATATTTTTTATTAATAAAGCATTAAATGAATGATATTTTTAAAAGTTTATATTTTTGTTTGAAAAAAGTAAGATTGTAAAGTATATTTAATAAATTTTATTGATATATAAGATGTTATCTAAAACTATTTTATAATTTAAAATGAAAAAAATATTTTTTTAAAAACACATGAAACGCTTAAAAATTTTTTATAACAACGACGGGAGAGAGTATTAATTAATACAAAATATAAAAATTCTATGAATCGGGGGAAAAAAATGAATGAATGGGAACCACGGTTTCCTACGGTCGACGCAGCACCAGAAAGCGGCGAGCAATCAAATTTTGACTCGCAATTCATGTTTTCTTCTGGAAGAGGATTACTTGCTCTATAGAGTATCCCACCCAATCCCATCATCCGATCCAGCTTCTCGCATGGCTTCTCTATGTGGCGTTCACGCTCCAAGAGCTCTCGAGTTTTCGCCAGCTCCCACTCAATTCCCCAGACCCCAAATCTCTACTGCAGTCATATCTTCTCAATTCTTCCGCCAAAGCACCCCCTTTAACAAAATCCACCGCCATAGCAGAACGAGAGATTGGGTCGTCGGCTCCGTCACGGAGGATCGGGAGGTAGTTCCGGTAAAGGATGACGGGTCAGAGGACACCGAAATCCGTTTAACTCTACAAGGGTCCGATGAACCTGAGGGTCTCTCAGCTTCTTCGTCGTCGTTTTCATCCAAAATGGACGCAGGTGGCGGTGGTGACGATTCTGATCGACTTACGAGCCGAGCAATAATGCAATCATGGTGTTGGGATTTGGGTCTTTTGCTGTAACTAAGTTACTAACAATTGACCATGATTACTGGCATGTGAGTTTCTTGACTACAAAGTGAATTTTAGTTTTCCGTTTGAAGTGTTACTTTTCACTTGCAGCTAACTGCATTTTAGTTATTTCTGTATACAAAAGTACATGCTAATATAATTCCTATAAAGACTCCGTTATCGCTTTACTTTGGGTTAGTGATGCGCTGACCCGCTTAATAATCTTTAATTATGAACAGTAATGCGCTTATCTGAAGAGTTGTCGGGATTTCTACCTGTTTTTTTTAATCGAATATAGGTATAGAGACATAACACTTTTCCGGGGAGATATATTTCCAGGGAAATATAATCGAGAGCGAAGATTAAGACATTTTAATAGTACAAAACGTTCCAGAAGATCCAAATGGGCCTCAGATGGACTTTCATAAACAAAGCAGGGAAGCGTGGTCTAGTACATCTTTACGAGTGCAAGCTTAAGAACTACTGTCTAATTGTACAAAGTCTTATATTTTTGATAGTCTAATTCAGTACTTAAGAAAACGACCAAGCAACGGTGTAATTTCTTTATAAGATATTTGAAGAACTGAACAAATATTATCTTCTTTTTATTCAGGGTTGGACCCTTTATGAGATACTAAGGTATGTACCTGAACACAATTGGATTGCTTATGAGCAAGCTCTGCAACAAAATCCCGTCTTAGCCAAAATGGCAATAAGTGGGATTGTATACTCCATAGGAGACTGGATAGCTCAGGTACGTTGCTGAGATGTTGACTCAAGAAAGTCAGTAATGCTCATCACACATTAGTTTTACTAACTCTTCAATGACCTCTTGGTTCTTACTAAATGTGCAGTGCTATGAAGGAAGGCCTCTTTTTGAGTTTGATCGGACTAGATTATTCAGGTCAGGCCTTGCTGGGTTTACTCTTCATGGATCTCTTTCTCACTACTATTATCAACTTTGTGAGGTGATTATTGCACTAATTTGGTTCAAACAAGAAAACAGGGTGATATGCTGTATGTGACTGAAATTATTTGATTGTTTTACAGGCTATTTTTCCTTTCCAAGGTTGGTGGGTTGTGCCTGCTAAGGTTGCTTTTGATCAAACTGTGTGGGCGGCAATTTGGAACAGTATCTACTTTGTGGTTTTGGGATTGCTACGAGCAGAATCCATAAGCAACATATATGGTGAACTGAAGTCAACATTTTGGCCCATGCTCACTGTGAGAAACCATAACCATTAATTTGTTTTGCTCATAACTAAACTGATTCCAGATGTCATGTATGATTAACTATCAGTTTGTGGACTTGATTTTAATGACATTTTAAGTTCATACAGAAGTCAAATATTTCCAATCTGAAAACTTGGCTTTCTTTGATTGGTGTGTATTCCATTCCCCTAGACTCAAATGGTTATATTTGTTGCTCCTGAAAGCTTGGAAGACAACTTCAGGTCATACTGTATCTTAAGGATCTCTGATGCTGCAATCATGGTTTTTTACTATGTTTATCTGTTCTATTTCTATAGGGTTTTCGTCTAGTGAACTGGAGCATGCAGCTGATTGAAGATGACACTTTGGCCTTTCTATACCTGATTGCTCCTTAATTTTGAACTTTACAGTTGTTGCTTCTCATCCATTCAAGAAGAGGGGAAAAAATCAAATAGTAATTTAGTTTTATCTTCCTGCCTAAAGACTTAAAAGGGGTAAGGGGAAAAAAGGGAGAAAGTAGCAAGGAGAGACAATTTATTTAGCATAGTAAACATTTTAAAGGGTGAGTAGTTATTTGATGGTAAACCAAACTGTTTGCTTTTGTAATTTTTCCAGTTCGCACATACTTGTTGATTAAATTTTGATTCTCATCCTCACGCAATTGATCAATTCTTGACGATATCCGTTGTTTATGGTTAACTGTGTTCTACTATATTCATCTAACAGAATGTGCTTTTAACACTGCTCTAATATTTCGCAGGCAGGGTGGAAGCTTTGGCCTTTCGCACATCTGATCACTTATGGTGTAATTCCTGTGGAACAAAGGCTTCTTTGGGTGGATGGCGTGGAGCTCATCTGGGTCACAATACTTTCAACGTAGGCACCTTATGTTGTTTTAACTTGAACTATTGCACATGAATCCGTCTGCCATGAACAGCACTAAAGCAGTATTATAATGTTCATATTTTATTTGGTTACTTAATAATCCCATACTGTCATTTCCATTTTTGAATGGTTGTTTGAATGTAAAACTCCATTAATAGACCTGTCAAGCCCATATGTCTTTTCTGAATATTGAGTGCATCGTTGTAGAAATGTATCTATTTTTGATGAGTATCTTTGCTATTTGGTCACAATTGTCATGAGTCTGGTATTACTCTGAGCCTTGTACTTTTCTTTCCGTGTTTAGCTATTCAAATGAGAAATCAGAAGCTCGAACATCTGAAGCAGCCGCGGAAGCAGCATTATCTAATTCTTCAGATAACCAGCAGCATGAGAACCGAAGGTATGAACGGATCCGCATACTCTCTCGGAGGCCTTATTGAATGAAAAGGAAACTATTCGGTGCATGTTAACCGTTGTTCATGCATTAATGATCTAATGCATTTGTTTACTAGTCAAGACGTGCTAAATAACTCGTCCTAAACGAGGCACGTAATAAACGTACCATATACTCATCCTTATGCAAAGCCGAAGTCATGCGTTCCAATAAAAGGAAAAGAAAATCTCCCATTCTCTTATTGATCTAGTACATGGTGACTTGAGTTAATAGCTGCAGCTTCTTGTTTACCTTGTCTATTACCAGGGAAAAATGAGTTGAAGAGATGGAATCTTGGAAAACGTGAATTGAAGGCAGTCACGAGAGTCACCAACCTTGCAAAAATGTTTGATTCAATGTTGCTACTAGCCTGCAGGGTAGTTCACATCCTTATGCCGTTGTGGACTACGCTAAGTTGCAGTACCAGATCGAGAGAAGAATATATGATTTCATATATGAATACTTACACAAAGATTGTTTATGCTTGTTCTTCTGCCTAATGATGCGTTGTAATGACTGAATCTACCTGTATGTATAAAGAACGCCTTCTCTTGCATCGACTGGTGAGGAATATCTAAAACCTCCATTAATACCAGCTAGTGTATTTTTTTTCAGTTGTTACGTATGTTATAGTTGGCATTAAAACAAAAGCTTCTTATTTATATAAACATGTGAGTCTGTTTACTGGAAGCTACTGGCACCTACCTAAATTTGTGTAAATTCATTTATCCATGCAGCCTAAATTCCTCTTTTAAGTGCAAACTGTCAATCTGTATATCTATATATATAATCTATAACATGTCACCTGATAATAAGTAGCGCATTTCGCTTTAATATATATTTTTATATTAAACTGAATATGTATAAATTTCGTGGTAAGCAGACTCATTTTTTTTATAAATATACTTAAAAAATAAATTCAAAATTATATTACACATATTTTTAACTAAATCGGTTCAGAAATTGGCAATTCAATTGAAGTCTTGGAGCTTCTTCTTTTTGGGGAGATGGTGACCTGTCCGACTATAAGAGAGAGTTTGATTTGGACTTCCGTGGAAATAGCACAATGGGTTGGGTTGGAGGCCCAACATTTTCCGGAGCCTCCCTAGTACCCCCTGTTTTTGGAGTTCCAGTGTCTTCCCGGGTCGCAACGGACCTTCTTCATCCTCTGCAATTGGAGGAAAATATAACAGATTCGTCATATCCCAAAGGCTTCAGCTGTGCAATTCGAACTCATGGCGAAGCTTGAAGAACTGGATGATTCCAAGTCCAAAACTACGAAAAGGAATCATGGATCTACCCGATTCTTTGTCTTCGTTGACCACCTCTTCCTCTTGATCTTTTTCGCATTCTTAGTCTTCATCATTTTCAAGATGATCGGCATTTGAATTCTGATGTAGGCGAAGCACGTTGGTCTGTTCTGAATCAGGTATCCACTATTTCCAATCATCCCCTCTTTTAATTTTTAACTTGCCGCACCGCTATTTTGCTTTCCAAATTCATGATACTCGTTATTGCTGCGCACTGGTGCAGGGATAAATGGTATGGGTACCGACTACAATCCTGTAACCTTTAGTGAGCTCATGTTGTAATTTACAGGGCTAATTCTCACATTTTCATTTTCATCCAAATTATAAGTTCTTTAATCTTTTTTCCCCATGCGAGTGAATGAGAGTTCTCTTTCTGTGTTTACCATTTCATCCTTGCAATTAATATGCTGCTCTCTCTCTCTCTCTCTCTCTCTCTGTTTTTTTTTGGTGAATATGCTGCTCTATTTTACATCTATCACGTTGTACTATAGAACAATGCTATTCTCTATGTATTAACTTGTATTTTACTTGTCAAAGTTATTGGACAAAAATATGGAACAACGCTTCCAACTTTTTTTTTTTTTTTCAGTTGGGTGTGGGTGGGTGGGTGGGTGTATTCTGGTTAACTCCTTTTTCCCCTCGAAAGTTTTAACTCAAGAATTTACGGTGTTACAATTTCCTCTAGCTTGTAGATTTAGACTGATAACATTTCTCATCTTGAGATTGTATTTGTGTATTTGGTAACCTTCCTTCTTTTCATGAGCAGGCTTTCCCTTGTTTTGTTTATCTTCTTTCTTGCTGTTGGCAGGACTCTCGTGACAGCTAGGCTTCGATATGGATATACTTGCAAGGGGAAATGTGGCGGTAACTGTCAGTTTTTTGTAATCTTTGTTTTTTGTTTTTGTTTTTGGCCAAGTATTGAGAAATATTTGCTTTGTTATTCTGAAGCTTGTGTAATTGTATTCCCCTTCTCTTTTTGCCTGTCATGTAATACTCGTATGTCTCAAGTTTACAATTGATGGAATCCTTATTGATGTCTAATGTCGGTAAGATGATCTAACCCTATCTATTTTCTACTTATCATCATTTACCCAGACAAGGATGAATAACTATGGCAGCTAAAATCTTGATCAAAATGCCAAGTATAGAACTTAGATTGCGTGGGAAAGACTCAGATCAAAACTGATAGTGACGGGATAGTCATTTTTCTTTCTCTTGGACGTTGAAATGGGATTTCCTTTGGAAAACAATATTATTCCTGATCTTTGATTTTGAAATGAAAAGACATATTAGGGATAAAACGCCTTATGTCTAGTTATAATCACTAATTAATTACGGTATGCAGCGTTTTAATCATTCACATAAAATTTCTTGCATTTGAAATTGATGAGTTAAGGTCCTTTTCCTTAATTTGTTTTTATCGTTTTAATTATTACTATTTTGTTGGGATGGGGTAGGGGTACCAGGGAAGAGAGGTTGAGATTATTTAGGCGTAGGCATTACTTTTTCCGTTATTTGGAGGATTGAGAGTGGGGGAGACTGACCCAAAACTACTATTCCGCATGCGATAGATTCCTAGTAGTTAGGTGATGTCACTTGCTTATCCATGGCACGCCTGCCTGTAGCTTTCAATAGGAGTATTCATGAGCGAGTGTCTTCAACAGGAGTATTCATGCGAGATGCGATTGAAACACTCTCATCTCAAAAGTTATCCTGTCCTGTTATGAGTTAGGATAGAATAGAGACAAGATTAAGATGTCTTGGTGTCCCAATAAATAAAATAATATAAAAAAAATTTAAATAATAACATTCATTAAAATTTTAAATCACATAATTTATTAAGTTTAAAATTAAAATAATACAAGGACATAAATCACAGCAATTTAAAGTCTAACTATTGAATTATATTAATCACAACTACATATTATAATAGTAAATCTAAGTGATCTTTATGCTATAAGAGTAGCAATAACAGGCAAGTCAAGTATAATATCATATTATTGTTCTTCTACTTTAATGGAGATGTATTAAGCTAATTACTCTTCTAAAAATAAAGTAAAAAATACATTATAAATAAAAATTACTAAACAGATGGATATAAGAATAAATTATTTAATATAATTAATATATTATAAAAAAAGATATCGTCATTTTTATTCCATGTCATTAAAATTATCAATATAAAAAAATTTTAATTTGAAATTAGAATTGCAAGTATTGAAATTATAATTGATATAATTAATATAAGTATAAATTATATTAATATAATTAATATATTTATAATAAAAAATAATATATAGTATTATTCGGGACGAGACGGGACGTCCCAATGATAATTCCGCGTCCCGTCTTGTCCTGAACCTCTTTTTTGTCCCATCCCGTAAAGTTTCATTTTAATTATTTTTGAGTCGGGACAAGAACTGTCCAGAAATGATTAGAACGATATCAGGTCAATCGAGACGGGTTCAAGTTGAACACTCCCAGCTCTCAGTGTTTCATGAGTTGGTGAGCAAAATTAAATGACTTTGTTGGTTCTAGCAATCTTTAAAATGTAAATTGAATAAACATGTGGCTGATGTGGAAGTGTGCAGCTGAAGGACTGTGACGTGAAGAGATTCATAGATAAACTCAATGCATGGCTCATATAATGAGATATTGATTGTTAAGTTCTGTCGTCGAGGAATTCTAGGTAAGCTCAATACCGAGCTCTATAATATTGATGAGTCATGCATATGTGTTGGGCACTAGTGGTAGTAATGTGAACATTTACTTGATTCTGGAAGGGAAGCCTGGGTCAATTTACCCCTGCTGATATTCTCCTTGCTGGTTGGTGAAGTACGTTTGTAAGATTAAACCCTATATTTCCTTTGTTATAACAAATTCTGGGTACCCCATATTAGTGTAACCTGGACAACTAATTGTAGGTGTTTTCATTTTCAATTTCTACTTTTCTCGATGCAAGTCATCTGCGTGTGAAGATTTGTTTCCTCCAGAGTTTCTGAAGAAACCCAAGTCGCATGTATAGCACTAGACGATGAAGAATTATGATTCAGGATGCATGATCAGCATCTACTTCGGGAGCACTACAAAATTACAAATAGCATGAATTTGTAACTCACAGCATGTTTATTCATCACGAACAGAGTAGAGCTTAAAAACTATTAAGTTCCACTCCCTGGAGCACACTTAATTATGACTAGAAAACGTAGCATAGATCGATTTAAGTAAGAAATAACACAATCTAGTTTATTTATTCATGCATGATTGCTTGGTAGTCATAACCGAATGATCTCAGGGAAGAACAGGTGTCGGAGCTCCACCGCCACTAGTTCCAGGATACGGGACCTCATAACCTGGATTCGGTACAAAGATATCATCACCACCTGGAACATAACTGCGTCCGGTCGGTCCTGAACCTGCTTCGATGCCTCCACCGGTGCTTCCACCAGTGTAGGGGTAGTGAGGAAGTTTAAATTGAGGCGGCAGTCCTACACGTCCAATTCCAGGAATATAGGCATCGCCACCCGAGTGAAACAAGAACTCTGGCTCTTTCTTGTCCTGGGGTTTAGAGTTCTTAGTAATGTGACGTCCGGCAGCAACAGTGGCTAGCAAGATGTAGGAGATGAGAAGAAGTGCAAGGAAAGTGGAATTGCACTTGTAAGCCATTGTAGGAGAGGAAATTTGTGGTGATATGTTTTTGTGTTGAAGCCACATGAGAATGGCGCCAATTTATAATCAGAGCTTTGGTGAAGTTGGATGAAATACGACGGCGACTTAAGATGGAGTCGTCTGAAATAAAATGGGGCACCTTGGTAGTTGATAATTTGGTGCTTAGTTAAATGCATTACACTTGGTTTAAAATGGTTTGGGTATCACTTTTATTACCTGCTTGTTTGGGAAATATTCACCAATGTTGCAGCGGCCAGTAATGGAGATTCCAGTCGGCTGATTTATGAGCCGACGCTCGAATAAAACTTTGATTGCTTTCCGCTGTATTTGTTGATGTTATCTACCCTCTTAGATACGGTTCTTTTTTCCTCATCGTAACAGATTACCCATAAACCTGTTTATGCATCTATTTCTCTCCGTATAAAGAGAGATTCATCCTTTAATTTCAAATTTAAATTTGAATTAGAGGTTTTTACTTTTTAGTTTAATCTCCGAGGAGTTTATAGACTAAAAATTGTTGAGAACTGCTCCACTTTCACCTGCTGTTATTGTGTCTTGGTGGGAGAATTACATTTAAATCTCACTCAATACAATTAATTACTTTGACAATTTATGAGTTGTCATTTCCTAAACTCAGTTGTTAATATACTTAGGAGTAATTAATTGTATTGAATAAGACTTTAAAATAATTCTCTCTTTTTTTCCCATTATTTTCTTTATCCAACCTTCCCGTCTGGCCTTTGCATCAAGTGAGAGAGAAGATTCGGTTCAATTTTCTACATGTTTGCACCTGGCAGTATTGACTTTATCTCCTCCATTAATTATGCTTATTTGTTTTGTCCATAACTTCTACTAATTAAAAATTGCATGATTCCAGTCTTAGTTTTACAAATATATTATCCACTTTTTCCCCAAATAGGTGCAAAACCGTTGAAAGATGCATTTTTTAAAAAAAGGGGGGGGGGATTGGAATAAAATGTTGTTAAATGTCTGCTAACAAATTATTCATCGAAGATATAACTAACATATAAACATGCCATACATCGAAGGACGAACCAAGTAACAAAATCAGCTAAAATTTCTCCAACAAAACAGTTACTTCTTTGAATTCACATTTCACAGTATAGCTTGAAGTGTTACAACAAAGCATTCTCATTTCTTGTCTACAAACCAAAATCCAACAGGATTCAAGGGGTTGGTCTTTCCTCGGAAAATCGAGGAAGCTGGACCAGTGAATTTACACGGGTCACACCTTCCAAACCTGACCAGTTTTGATCTTCTACAGATGATGTCGCTCCATCTTCGACGTCTACAGGCAGCCCTCCATAAGTCTCATTTTCATCCGAGGATCTCACAGTGAAGTTCCGGTGCAGAGATGGCTCAGACTTCTGGCCGTCATCTGATTCAACTGGATTGCCGGAATGGTTGCTCTGGATGGTCGCTGAAGAAAAGCCTGGCTCATCATAATCGGATTCTGAGTCCATCTTCCCGTCCAAAAAGAGACAGACCACAGCACAGTCATCCATCTTTGATGTTGGATACTTAAGCTTCCACTCCCGAGCTGCGGAATCCACCAGAATCCTAGCAGCTGATGATCGAGTCGGTGCTGAAGCTATTATCTCAACCACCTCTTCATTGCTCAACACGTCCCACACCTGAACAGAACAAGAGAATCATTTGTGTGAAAGCAAAAGATGATGACTCATCCCTTCTATGAAGAATAAGGGCAGCATACATGTTAAATAGAAACAATTTTTACAGGTTAAATTAGTATTTTGATTCCTTAAATTTATTAAGTTGATCTGGCCTTATAAGTCTATTTCATGCAACAATAAGGCTGTCAATTCCAACTATATGAGTCATGTGCATGGCACGATAGCAATGAGTCGCACTGTTCAAAAGTTATAAATGATAGACACATTTATATTGATATCGATTGATAAGCATGGCATGTATAGTAAACTATTCAACTACTGCCAAATTCACAAACATGAAGTCTGGTGCTAATACGAAACCCTGTGCGTCTGTAACTGTTTAAGATCAATGTATAAATACACTAGCAAGAAGCAAAAGTAATCAAACAAATCGAATCAATACATAAATTTGATGCCTAAAATTATTATTGATCCCAATCTATCCGGAGAAATCTCTGCACGCAGAGATTGATAGTATTTAGCAATAAACTAGAAGAATCAATGAAAGACATAATAGAAATCAATGGAGAAATAAATTATAAGAATGGAACCAGGAATTTACCCCATCAGAAGCAAGAACAATGAACTGATCTTTGTCTGTAAGCAGCCGATGAGAAAACTCAGGTATGGAAATCACACCATACTCCTTCAAGCAGAAATCTCCAAATGCTCGAGCCATTGCTAATCCTGGTGCATCATCAAAAGGCAACCACACTCTGGGAACTTCAGGCTCATCTTGCAGTGCAAATACTCTGCCTTTGCACCGTTTAATTCTTTCCGCTTCCCCTTTAAAGATTTAACAGAATTAGAGTAAATTAGCTTTAACAACAAAGCATAAACAGCACGAGGAAACAATTAATGAAGGCAGTATATCACACACTTGGCAAATCAGGCTTCAAATCAACAGTTAACTGAATGGCCACCATTGAATCATTGCTGTCTTTGGATCCCATGATTGCTCGCGAATCCCCAATGTTCCCCATGAACAGATTTGAACCCTGTAGAAGTGTAACAGCAAAAGTAAAATAAGAAAAGGGGTAAATAAAAACAAGAAGAAGAAGAACTCAATCACATTTAGAGACTTCATAGTTCACACAAACCCTGTACTAACCTGCTTCACTATAGTGACAGCCGTGCTCCCACTACAGAAGCAGTCCAGATTTGGATGAGACCTAAGTTCTTTGTCCATTGCCTTATAAGCCTTCATGAAAGCTTCTCTCCAGAGAGAATTCACAATATCCTCAGCAGAACAATCCTTCTCACAGACTCCATCATCAGTATTCCCATTCGCTTTGAAACAAGCTTTGCCTGAGCCTGACCCATTTCTCTTCGATTCACAAGAATGCAAAAATGAAAGTAGTTTTACAGGCAAGGTATCCCTCACATTGCGTGCAACGACATGACCATATGGACCATGGCCATCAAAGACACCGCAGAAAATGGCATCATCCGAAATAAAGTCCTACAGAAACACAGGTCCAAACAAATATATGTATGAAAAAAGGCGACGGAAATAAATTCATCCTTGAATCATTGAGAAGAAGAAGAAGAAACTCACTTCCCATACAATCATGGCATCCTGATTGATACCCTTTTTGCCTTGCTGTGTGAATATGCAAGAAGTCCGGCTCTTTCCATTGGTTAAGATTCGATTAGGTAGGGACGGAAGATGCTGCAGAGCAATGACATGATCAGAGAATGTTCTCCTTGTTCTCTTTTGCCCACAGAAACCAACTTCCAAACAAGATGGAGAGATCGTGTCACCGTTGCTCCTACTACTACAAGTACTCCGACTGCTTGTGGAGACACAACACCCCATTTGATCAGCTCCACGAACAAGGCATCTGATCCAGTGAAATTGAAGCCAAGTTCCCTTGATTTTTTTCCAATACAGATCTCACATAAACTTCTGAGATCGCAAGCCAATAATAGTCAAAATTCAAAAAGTATGACCCACTTCACACTTTAATGTCCGAAAATGAATCTTTCTAGCTTAGTCAAATTTGATGATCTGCCAGCGGTTCTGCAAATGAATGATGAAAACGGCTTATAGAAGAAGACAGGTAAATCAATGGATAACTTAAGGTCTCAAAGATCCTAGCCTGCATGTAAAAATAAAATTAAGAAACTCAATTAATCAATATGTGTGAATTTAAAAATCCTAACATGAGATAAAGGAGCGGAATATACTGCCAAGGAAAGGAAAGACCGATTATTTGTCTTTCATAAGAATTCCCATCGAAAGCATCAAAATGGAAACTATGAAATTATTTAATCCAGAAACTAAGCTTCAAAATTTTAATTTAAGCAGATGAAACCAGAAAAGCACAACTATTAGTCTATCAACCCGTCCTCTCTAGATTTTTCAAACCTTATCATTCTCCGTCTTTCCTTTCCACAGAAAATAGATCTCTCAAGTCACATTGAGAAGGGGAAGGAGGAAAAGGAAGAGCAATCTCACAAGAACCCAACTTTTAAGCGGAACAGTGAAAGGAAAACGAAATTAAATTGTGAAATAGAGATGAGAACATTAGAGCAAATAAACTTGAAGTAAACCTACCTGGGAATGGGAGGAAAAGCCCGCCCATGAACAAAAAATCACTTAATTGGAAACAGAGATCTTCACTGACTTTTCGTCGTTTACTTCTGCAACAAAGAAGAGCATAAATTTGGTAAATGGCCCCTTTTTGAAATGAGGAAAAAAGCTAAGGTAAGCAAAAGAGCGCAAGCTCAAGTTTTCTCACTACGGAACGACAGGAGGAAAAGTGAAAAACGCAAAAGCAGAAAAGGACGAAGCAAAGTTATAATCTCGTCAACAAAGAATCCCGCGGAGACGCAGAATAAAAATGCATTGGAGATCGGGTAAATATTACACAATTATCATAATGACAAAGACCCAAAAGTAGAAACAGTAAACCCAGAAATGTGAATATCTTTTTTTAAAAAAAAATTCCCACCATGGTGGTGAACGTAACAAACGAGGGTCCAGACACAAACACCAAAATAGCAGAAGATACTAAGAAACTACCAACCCAGAGATAAGAGGCACTAAACTGAATTAGGGAAAGAAATTTAATTAAATTTTCAGGAATTGTAAAATTACAAACATTCAACATAAGCATTGCACATTGATCAAAACTGGTAGAAAAATAGAAGAAATCAATCGTGTTCTCTTCGGTCATCCCGGCCAGAAACAAAGTCGAAAAGCCCAAACCCCAAGAGGGCAAGGCTCTACTATGAGCAGCGATCCACCAAAATCAAACCAAAAAAGGCTCATAAGTCATACCCGCAAAGAATTTCGGATGGAGGAACTTGGAATCGAGCCTGCATAAGTAAGATGAGAAATGACGATGGGTGGTTACTTCAAAAGGGAAGGGAGAAGAGAGGATTAGGAAGGCTAGAGGACACCCATCACCTTGGGAATGGAGAAATGAGGCTTGAGATAAAAGGATAAGAGAGCAGAAGCAGGGCAGGGCAGAGAGAGAGAGAGAGAGAGAGAGATGGAGAGGGAATGAAAACAGGAAAGGGTAAGAGAATTAATAAGAGTTGATGGTGAAGATGGGCGGGTGGTGCATTAATTGCAAGAGAAGGGCATACAGAAACGCAAGGAAGAAGAAAGTGAGAGTACAAGCAGGGGAAGAGAGAGAGTAGGGTTATTATTATTAAGTTATGTGATGGTTCAAGGACGAAGTTGCTTACCCCTCGACCATAGGTGGTCATTACGTACCTTCAAGTATTTCATTTCTTTGAATCAATTTCATACGGAGATACCCAACAAAGCGCGTATAGTTCGATTTTCCTCGCATTATGATGTTTTTTCCTTTCATCGAGCCAACGTTTTCGTGAGCAATGGGATTAAGGCGTTGGGGTTGTGGAAGATCCGCGGCACAGGCCAAAATCCGGCACTGATTATTACTTATTAGTGTCTCTTTTACTTTTTCTTCCTTATATATATATATATATATATATTAACACAAGACCGCAGCGCAAGGAACAAATAATAGGTATCTACATCCTATATGACAATATTAAAGTTGTTTTCAGGCATTTGATGAGCAAGAGAATCAACGCATTTTTGCCTTTTCTAAAAATATAATCAACAATAATAATTTAATTTTTCATAATAAAATTTTTAATTCTATCAATGATCCCAAAGAGGGGATAATTCTAATAGAAATTGTCTTTGATAAACGACAAAGCTTTTAAAAAATTAAAGTAACTGTAAATTTTGATTAATTTGATATTTTAATAAAACTTAATTTCTTCTAAGACACTCCAGAGTTTGACAATAATACTTTGATAACATATGATATATTTGGAGAAGTTCATAATACAATTCCTTTAATTATCATGTGTGAGACTTTTACAAGTGACGGCCCATTGATATTAGGTAAACCATCATCCTTTTATTTATATTATTTTGTATTGGGTTCTCTTTGTGTTTTATTCATGAGGATGTTTAACTCATGTAACTAAATATTTGTTTAGGATTATTATATCCTGATTTCGGATTAGTGAATGATAATTTCTATCTCCATTTGTGTTAATGTCATTCTTATATATACTTATTTGTTCTCAAACACGAAGAACTTGATTAAGACTTTCTTTTAATGTTTTAAAGGCATTTAGGAGTAGAAAATTTAGACCAAGTTAAATGAATCACGAGGGATTGAGTATTCGGTCGCTGAATACTTTTATTGCCTTGTGAATAAAAATATACCTACTAATATAACACAATCACATCAGGGCTTGCACTTGGTCAAGCCTGATACAAAATTCACCTAAGAAACTGGGGGTTAACATGATTGGAAAGCTCTTTGTTGCTTGAAGTCTTTAACTAGTAATTAAGAGGCGTAAATCAACACATATAAATTTAATTTCAATTAAGGATGAAAATGGATAGTAAGAAGCAGTTGAGCCAACAATAATCCAAGTCGCGACTTAAAATCTACTATAACCATTTGCATTGACCATGGATTAAATTTGCTTTATTGTTATAGTTACATTTTTAAAATATTATAGGACCAAAAACATAAGCTCCGTTGATTTCTGCATAAATGTAGCAGATAGAAAGAAAAATAATTATATCCATGCATAAAAAAACAAATGCATATATTGATGATTTTAATCGAATAAAATTAAATTTTAATGAAAGGAAAGATGTGGCAATTTGATTAAAAAAATTAAAAAGGAGAGGTTGCAATTTTTGGTTAAAAAAAAAGGATGGGAAATATTTGGATAAATATTATATTAATACAAGAAATAAATAGGAGTAGACGAGGAAAGTAAGATAGACTCGCTGCGAAAGGGAAAGAAGGGGAGAGATGAAGAGAGACAGAGAGGCACGCGTCCACTGACCGATACACTGGGACACGTGACGTGGCGGTTGAGCAATTTTTTTAAAAATGGACCACTATCATTTGAAAATAATAAATGTTATAGTCCGTTTTAAATTAGAAAACATTTTAGAACAGATTCAATATTCAAAATATACAATACTTTAATAAAAATAAAATTTCATTAATAATATTTTTCATTACTCTTTTTTATTTTTAATATTATTTTCTAAGTGAAATATTAAATGTTGAGCATTTTTAAAATTTACATTTTTATTTAAAAAATAAAATTTTAAAGTATATTTAGTAAATTGTATTAATATATATAATTTTATTTAAAAATATTTAGTAAATTGAGAAGGGACGTATAATGTAGTAATTAAGAATTATTATTTTCTATTCATGATTAAAAAATCGTCAATTTCCCAGGACTCGACTGTCAAAGAGAAAATTCCCAAAAGTTCAATTTCTATTCTACGAAATCCTTGATTCTTCACAGCATCACCTTCGCCATCTTTTGCGCAAAAGAACAAGTCGATACTTTTCTAATTTTATATATATATATATATATATTTTACTGTTAATATGTAATATATAAAATTGAGACAATGAGAACAAAATTTTTTTAAATTATGTAAATAATATTTTAGTTTCTTGAAATTTCATAATTTTTTTAAAATTTTTAAGGACTTTTCTATCATTAAAAAATTAATATAAATGATCAAATTATACTTAATTCAAACTTACGAATTACTATTGAATTCTTGCGATTTAAAAAAAATAAATTTTAAAAAAATTATTAATGACAATTGATATTTGTAGCACTTGAGAAATATTAGTATTTTAAATGCAAACTTATGAATTCTTATTGAATTCTTGTAGTTTTAAGAAGAAAAATTATAAATTTTAGGATAAAAGTTGTGAAAATATTTGAATTAAGAATAATTTAGTCATTTATATTAACTCTTTAATGATGAAAAAGTACTTATAAACTTCAGAAAAATTATGACATTTTGAGAAATTAAAATATCATTTACATAATTTTAAAAAATTTTATTATTATTTTTCTTATAATTTTTTTAACAAGACACTGGTATATATTAACATAAATTGTAAGGGATCAAAGCTCATACCATGTGAGTTGATTGTAATTGTTTTATTTTACTCATTTCATTTAAAAATGTAAGATATTTTTAATTGAATCTCACATTCTAATAAAGTCATCCATATGATTATTATTACAAGACACTCTCAATTTTCACGCATTTTGATATCATTAAAAAAAGATGTACTTTTTTTTGTTACTCTTAACTTTTAATACTAATATAACTATATTAAATATATTTAGCCCTTCGTATTAACCAATAAAAAGTAAAATTGTAAAGGTAGTTTAAATGTTACAAGTTATCTTACATTTTAGACAAAGAATTCCTTCTAAAAAATATTCTACAAGTAGGACCAGAATTGAAATAATTACTTGTCCTCAACTTAATGTCATTTCTTCATATTTACTTATATTTAATAAGATGTTTCGCTTTAAAATAAATATAAAATAATTTATTAAATATAGACACTTAAAAAAATACAATAATTATACATTGAAATACTAAAAATATTAGCTAAAAATGTCTAACATTGTTTAATATCAAAATTCTCTAAAAATGCTTTGTATATTTTTCAATGGAGGGAGTATATGTTTAGATATTCTATAGGTTTTTTTCCATTTTCAACCGCAAAGTTTAAATTAGTTGTGAGAAATTGTGTGTGTGTGTGTGATGAAATATTTTTGGGGTTGATCTAAGTTGCACAAATACTGATACACAGCATATTTGATACATTAATACTTTTTTTAAAAAAATATAGAATATGATACGTTTTCAATATGTGCAAAAATATATATATATATATAATCATAAAAATAATAAAAATATAATCTCAATTTTAAAAAATCCAACCTAGCATGCATATATAGTTTTTTATAGTAATATCAATCAAAATATAATCTTTAATTATACTTTTATTCCATATCTGCCTAATTGCCTGCCACATAATCTTTGTTAGATAGTTTCATATTCAAGATTTATACGTCAAAAGATTTTATTCCAACATTTTCATAATTAAAAATATAATTTTTATCGTTTCATTATATTTAAAACTTATTTTTTAGTGAATCTAATGTTTGACTTTAAAGCAAATCACATAAATATATTAGAGACAAAAAAAGTTAATATTACAATATTTAATAAAATCTAATTTCTTAAAAATAGTCTCTAAGTATCAGTTTTAAAGTATTAACTTGTAATTTAAAAGAATTGGATACGTATCAAAAATTAATTTTTGTAAAATTAAAAAAATAATATTTTGATACCTCATAAATACATATTGAAAAAATATTAGTGAGTATTGATATTAGGTACAATATCAATATGAATATAAATATGTGAGATAATTTAAAGTATAGGTATTTTTATAGGTGCTGATGTTTCAAACAAATGAGTGGCGTTCGTTTTGGTAGCTTGTCAAATAAATATAGAAGAAACAATCATTCTTAGTTTGAAAAATGAAGGGGGAAAAACAACGGGTTCTTCATCTGAATGTGAGCTAGCCTGGCTTCTTTCCATCCTTTCAATCAACGGAATAGAATTCGTCGCATCTTTTTTATAATATTGTTGCCTTTATCGACGTTACTCAAAATAACACGAATATATCATCGCGTGTTTTTCAAATTGACATATTTATTTACATTTTAAATAAAAATATAGATAAATCAGTTCGATTTATATGTCTTTTTTAAATTTTCAAAAGCAACATTTATTAACATTCTTCCAATCCTACCCTCATTCATGAATAATGTAAACATGCTTTAGTGTATTAAATTAAAGATAAATTTGATAACAGGTTAACAGTTTGATGTATTAACTGTATTTCTTAACCCGTGTGTTAAAAATCATAAAAAAAATATCACAATAAAGAAGAGATGGAGTAATATTTTAGGTTGAGTATTAGAATAAAAAATTATCTTAGGTACAAGTTGAAGGATGGAATTCGCTGCCTGGGGACGTTTATTTGAAGCAAAGGCGTGATGAGAGTATGCGTTGACGGGCAAATGGAAGGAGATGGATGGTCGACGGCAAAGCTAAACCTTGTTAATAACAAAACAGGAAAGTCAACCAAACATTAGACTCAATAATTGACCTCGTTAATTATATCAATTATTAATTAATAATAAATGTGCGTGCCTATTTATATCCATCCATTTGTAACGTGGGGGGTGTTCGAACA